CTCGACGTGCAGGAAAAGGAACGGGGTGGTTTTTAGTCAGTAAGAGTCTGACACTCCCTTCCGCCTCACCCAGGCGGGAGCAGTCATTCGATGATTTTCCCCCCTTAAAAAAAAAAAACCCCTTCGGGGATAAAAAAGGTTAAAATATTATGTTGTCTTTGTATAATAACAAAACCTGATACATTGATTTTTACATTTCTTTACTTCATTCTACCTACTACCGCGTTTTTTTAATTTGACTGACATAGGTCACAGCGAAGACTACTCAACATTGTATTAGCTATTTGAATCACTAATCATATCGGATGTCTGAGACTGAATACCTATTTCATTAAAGTATGCTTACTCCTTGAAAGTTACTAGGCCAACTGCGATATCAACTTGAGAGTTATCTGAGCAATGCTTGACACTTCAACACTGATCCGGTATGCACCAGTTATCTATCAAATACCGGGTCGATGAACAACATAATATTATTATGCGAGTGACGCTCGTATAACCGAAAATATATTTTTCTCAAAGATAAATAAAATGGATTATAGGTAGTATTTATATCACTTGTCTTGTTCGAGAATGTACTGGTTAGGGGATTTTTTTTACTTTTTTATGGGAGTAGACGGACACCTGAAAGACCAAAGGCGTTACAAGTGCGTTACCGGCATTTTGCGGATTAAAAATTTGAGGATTGTTACGGAGATTGGGGGAGGGGGAGGGGGTAATTGGGCCTCCGGTAACCGCACTAACACGACGATGTACAACGCAACCATTGCTTCACGTCGGTTTTCTGTGAGGCCGTGGTATCACTCCGGTCGAGCCGGCCCATTCGGGTCGAACCATGGCTCTTCTACACTTGTACTTAGGAAACTTAAGGTGAAGTTAAATGTCATGTGAGTTAAGAAAAGTTTATTAGTTTTATTATTTACTTACTTGAAGTTTATGCAGATAGAATGCGACCTGTGACTTATATTTACATGAACGCATTAGACCCTACTACAGCGATGAATAGTAAATGAGAAATAAACAGTACAGTACAGTGCCGTACATTTGATATATTTTTCTAAATCCGTCCCAACGTTGAACATAAAATTAAATGGATGCTGACCAACAACTCTACAACAAAAAAGTTAAAATTAAAAACATGATTTACGTTCCAGGTAGAGCAACAACAAATAAATAACAAAACATCATCTTTCAAAGTGATAAACATTCAAAAAGTGTACGAACACTAAATTCTGACCAAACCATTAACGATGCAAACGGTATCACAACAAATCTGCTACCGCGGTAATATTTCACAGCTTAATTTCTATTGCTGGGCCCCATTGATTTTATAAATTCGCTTTCCCCACTGAGAATTTAATGAAAAACGTGCGTAGAAACTTTTCGCTCCATTACTTTCCACGGTTATTAATGACGGGCCGGTATTCTGCACACCTACTTTGATAGATTGGCCCATTCGTTTGGCCGAATGCAAACAAAGGAGCTGTGTGCTCGAAACAGTAACTATGTGTAGTTGGGACGTTTAACTAATCATTTTGTTTTCATTTGTACAGGAAGTTTAAATGCTGGGAAAGGGAAGGAAATCGAGTTTATTTGTTGCCGGATCCTATCTTTGATGTTGATGAATGGTGGTAGTATTTATTAATGAAGCACTTTTTGACGGCACGGTTGGCGCAGTGGCTGGACAACTGGCCGCCGCGCAACGTGTCGCGGGTTCGATTCCTGCACGGAACAACTGTGTCTGGGTGTCATGTGTATGTGAACTTGTATGTTTGTTAACGCACCCAAAGATATATGTTGAACTTTTTATGGATTAAACCGGTAAATAAACAGACGGATCACCTGGTGGTAAGCAATTGGCGCTACCCATAGATATCTGAAAGACCAGAGGTGTTACAAGTACGTTACCGGCCTTTTGGGGATTAAGAATTTAGGATAGGAACCTAACTTGCAACTCTATATAAGACATTATTTCCGTTGTGTATGTATGTACCTATATAAACATAATAAAGTATACCTCCAGCCTTCAGTAAATCTTGAGATTCACCCTTAAATCTTGGGATTTACTAGTAACCGGGATTTTTCCGAATAAAATAAATAAAAATATCGTGCTATATCTCGAGAATATCCCCAATGATTTCCGAAATGACTTTATTACTGAATATTGATAAGATGGTTCTTGTATTTTATAGCTGTATATAATTCGTGAACCTATAGTTGTATTTACCTCTACACTGGACACAATTTTAGAGTCGCTACTAACTATAAGTGTCAATTTACTAAAAATGGAAAGAAATCAATGTTGCTTCGTTTGATCTGAGAATCGAACAAAAGATCCTTTCGATATTGCACTTCTATGCTACCACTTTTGACCAACGGAGCGTTAAAGGTGGCAATCGCTTATTTTTTAATTTGTTCCTATTTGTCCTTCTAGTAGTTAATTTTGTTCATCATGTTAGTCATTCAAAGTTGTACAAATTGCATAGCCTTCTAAATTATTTCTAGTAAAATCGAATGAAAAAAACATACATTTTTTTTATTTAAAAAACACCATTTTTTCTTGTCGATAAAAAACCCGGACACATTTCAATCAACATTCAATATGAATCAATTTCAGTACCATCGAACTTATAGAACGGTAGACGAAATAAGTTGGAAGTTACGCTTTGTTCGAAGCTAAGGTTACTGGATCGATATCAAGTAGTGATTGATGAAATACGAATTATCAATGAGTATCGAGCCGCCCTGTAAGTGGTTCTTGAAATTGCTTTCGAAATAACCGCTATTATGTCTGAAAACTATTATTGATATCGTTGGAAGAATGTTTGGGGCTATTGGTCAAGTCGAGGGTTTTTGGAAGAATTTAGTTCAAGTATTGTCAAGTTTAGTTCTAAATGTCGTGGTGACCGGAGGTTTAAACTGTCAAACACCAAGCGGTCACCGGTGACCGCGACCTATTGTTCTTTAATTGTGTCTATAATGACGGTACTCAACGAGTTAAGACGCCTTCTTCTCATGTATGAGGATACGATTTCGAAACGTACCAATGGCAAGTACCAATGTGACTTTTTCCGAGTTATATGTACGTTCTAAGACCTAGACATCACTGACAAAACGGTGAAGGAAAACATCGTGAGGAAACCTGGGCTTATAATTTCTAATTATAAGTTTGTAATCGCCTACCCGCATTGAGCAAGCGTGGTGATTAATGTTCGAACCTTCTTCGTGTGAGAAGAGGCTTTGCTCAGCAGTGGGCACTTATAGGATGTTGATGATGATGATTGTCAAGTTTTTCTTAATTTGGACGTACTAGTTTGTTTTATACATTAGGAAGAATATACTCAAACTGGTTTGGTTATTTGTATAAAGGATTGTTGCGGGATTTTTTTTAATGACTTCTCCCGTCTGGTTGAGGCAGGAGGTAGTATCAGAATCTTACTGACTAAAAACCACCCCGTTCCTACTCCCGCACTTCGAGCCGGTTCGAGCGATTCTGTATCGCCATCAGCATTGTTGCGGGATGGAAAAGGTTTAACTACACATTTTTTCGTTGCATTATAAATATAATTTAGGTAAGTATTTTATTTGTAGGTATAAGCTCATTATATCAAGTTGTTATTTGTTTTGATACTAAGTAAATAAAAAGTATAATTATACTGTACTTACTTGTTCGAAATATATACCACATACCACAGGATCACATATTCAATCTAAATTATGTTCTTAACAAGACATTTACATTTTTCATGTATTTAGAGTAAATACAACGATAGATATTCGTAACACTAAGATATAAACATTTTGGGAGAATGATGTAAGGGATACAACGCTAGACACCCCAAGGCGAGCTCAGATTAAGCTATCACGATCAAACACGATGTATTATTTGCAAGAATTATCGTATGGATTACTTATACATACATACATTACGTTACTTTAGTATTTATTAGGGCGTATGTATGATGCCTGAAATTATTGACAAAAGATATTATTACGAGGAAAACTCAGAGGTTGTTTAAACCTCTATGGCGATGAAAATTCGTCATACCGATTTTGATTTTGATTGATGACGGTAATTCTTAATTTAAAGCACTACATAACATAACATCACGCCTTTTATCCCTGAAGGCGTAGGCAGGGGTGCACATTATTGTTAAGTGGTGTAATAGTCCAATGTAATAGGGGGAGGGCCTATTGCAATGTACCGGACACAATTCGACTACTGAGATTTTATCAAAGTAACTAGTAATCATATCCCGACCCGGGAATCGAACCGGAGACGACAGACGACTTAGCCCGACAGTCGCACTTGCAAACACTCGCCCAAAGAGGCAATCAAAGCACCATGGACTGTTTTATTCAAAGAAGAGTCCTTTGAATTGTCCTTTTCAGAGCACTTATACTTTTTGTTTAGATGTCCCAGAATGATAAGCGAACGTGACTATTTTATCATCATTATCATCATCAGCTCATAAGTGCTCAATGGTGAGCAAAGGCCTCTTCTCACACAGAGAAGCACTGGGTATCCAGTTGAAAAAAATGTTTTGTTTTAAAGCTAAAAACGACCCAGTTCTCAGTGGTACAGTCGCATTTGCAGCTATTTGACTGCGTTTATGACAGTCTGAAACTTAGATAAAATAGATTAGGTCTTCTTCATAGTTATGTGAAGTTTTTACTATTTATAATGGTCTCCTGACGGAGTTCACCTTAACTTTGTCTTTTCATTTCTGTCTCAAATGTACCATTGAGCAGAAACTTCTCCTTAAGAACTATTGAATACACTTTAAAGATTCTTCGAAACCTTTGGTATTTCAGTGTATTTTTCAATAGGGGTGACTGTTTTTCCCCAAAATGGCAAGTAATAATACGATGGAAAATAGAGTACGCTAGTGTGTTTTTTATACGGGAAACGACCAAATTGATCTATGGATGGTAAGCAAACGGCGCCGATCATAGACATCTGAAACACCTAAGGTATTACCTTACTGGTCTTTTAGGGATTACGAAAGCGAAGATGCTTGGGGATTAAGGAATTGGGGAGTAGGATAATTGGGCCTCCGGTAACCTCAGTCACATGACGCAACAAAATGCAAGCGTTATTTTATGTCGGTTTTTTTAAGGCTATGGTCGTGTCGTCCCATTCGTGCTAACTTAATGTATGAGCAAAGCAACCGATTCACTCGCGATTTGGAGATACCCAGGTTGCAACCTGGGACTTTTGACGTTAGTATAGTATTACTCAGTAATTGTAACCCTTTTTTGTTTCAATAAAAAGTTGCCCCACTCTTCGATTTACAAGTAAGTAGGTACATAGCTTCACGTGAATTTAAAAACAAAATGAATCGTTAAAGAGAATGTTTGAATGACTCAATCTGAGGGATATATCTACTATAAAGTACTTAAACATCGTTTCAAATACATACAAATGCCGAGGTTGCAAACCTTGTCGGACATTAATCTTCAGCTAAAGTTGTAATGGAACAACTTCGATCGAGTTGATTCCGAATTTTAATTGAATTATAGATTAATTTTAATTTCAAAACGATGACTAAGACTGTTTTCAAATACTAAACTTTTGGTACAGATGCAAAGTTTTATGTTAACAGTGAAATATTTACATGTTTTAAACGTAGTAGGTATCTAATTGTTTAAAATGGAACAATAGAGGTACTTACACAAACTTTTTTCAACAATGTTTTTGGATGAAAGTATTTGACTTTGTAAGTCCATAAATAACAAAAAACTTCCATTTACTCCCACAATACCACAAAAACAATGTCACGTAAAGTAAAATACTTTCAAAATAGTTATTTACCGCGACCTTTGAACCCAAAGTAATATAAATATGAAAAATATACCACAGGGATTGTTAACCCCCCGCCGCGGACATAAAACATATCCGATACACTTATGCACATCCAATAGTTGTTTAGTAAAAGCTTTTCCATGTAAGTGAATTAGTCACGTGCCGTTGGTCCCAGTTTTTGCCTTATCCCTTGATTTATCCCAGCTGTGGGAACGATTTGTAACAACAAAATGAGAGATTGTCTCGTTAGGTATTCGTGTGGCGTGCCCATTGAATGTAGGTGTGGTGCAACACTGATTTTTGTTTAATGAGACCCTTTGTTGTGTGAGGGTTAACAGTTGTGCGGTTTTTTGATAATAGTTTTGGTATTAAGACCATTTTTAAAGTGAATTTTGATTAAGTATAATAATAGTTTTGAATACAATTTTTTTTTTATTTTACTCAAAATAGAATGGAATCTTATTACGAATTGGGTAGTGTTTCAGACTTGATAGTACACAGAAGTTTTGAATTGACGTTGATAATTAACCTAACCTTTCCATGAAGCAAGTTAACCGTCTAACTTTACCTTTGAATTCATGTAAATCTCCTGTGTCTTAATATTCATGTTAATATTTTCTTCATACCACGCGTGATTTTTTATACAATCCAATAGTAAACGCAACCATACTGTTCAATATAAATAAAAGAAACCCAATTCCAATTCAATGGATATTTTAAATTGTACTTCAAAGAAACAATACGTCAGAATAATAGACAACAGTGGCATTATGTAACATGCGCTCAAGAAAATAAACGCGGCGCGATGCGACCGAGCAAATACAGGATGAATGTTTTCGCAAAGAACTCTAGGGCCCTATGTGGCACAATCAGCCGTTTGCATTATGCATGAAACCATCCCGGAGGCGACAGATGCTCGGAAACTTCCAGAAGGAGTGATATTAATATTTGTTTGTCAGGTGCTTTACTGGAGCTGTTGCTCTTTTGTTTTAACTCTATTTAATGATTTTTGATCGATTTGATTATTTATTGGGCTCATATTTAACCAACCACCAAAAACAACATCCTCTAAATTTGGGTGACGTAAATCCCTTAGCTGTACTTAGTCCAAGGCAGCCTTGCTAAAGACAGTGCTTAGGGAAAATCTTCCCTTAGTGTAAAGATACAACGTCTTAAGACCAATGATGATAATTAATGTGATTGCATACTGACACTCAAAAACTATTTAAGTGCTACGTCAATTTGATACAACCAATAGGGTTACGCACAGGAGCAAATAGCTTTAGTGTTTTGAAGGTCAAGGTTGAAAGGAGAAATGATACCAACTCAATACTACACTGTGGCAGTGTGGTAGTTGGAAATGCTATTCTGTTGGTATAATTTTTATTTATTTATTCCAGGCATCACAGGCCCATATCGAATACTATTAACTAATACCATAGTATAAAGAACAAAGTAGGTTATCTTCATACAAATGCTCCGCGCGCGGCTTATATGTGTGCGCCATAGTATCTATGCGTCGACGCACGCACACTTTAACAAAATCTCGACCCGTTTCTCAGTGCGCCAGGCAGGGCTGACACTGTACGAGCATAGTATAAAGAACACAGTAGGTTATCTAAGGCAGCCCGCCGAGTTATTAGCCTACTCTTGCGTTGATCCCCAGGGTTGTCACTTTTACTTTTAGTTAATATTTTCGAACAAGCAGCACTTGATCTAAATTTATGAAATGAAAAGCATATTATGATTGAATATTTTATCAATTTATAAATTTAGTAAAAATAAAAAGCTTATAAAAAGATTATTAACTTCTTAAAATAAACTTTAGCTCTATACATAGTATTCAGAAAGTAAATTTTGGAATAAATTTATATGGAAAAATGCGACACGGCCACGCTCTTAACAAATCAGATAAACTGTGAAATAAACAATACAATACCACATTTTCTTATAATATTTAAGTATAGTAGGTAATTACATTTCTGGTTGAGTAGGAACTATGAAGAATGATAAGAGTAAGAATAAGTAAGTAGGTATCTCATCATCAAGTACCTACACATTATATTATGCTAGAAAAAGTGACTAGCTTACCTTTCCTGTTCAATAGGTAATCTGAACAGAGACAGTTCTGGAATCGATTAATTATTAAGACACCCAAACACACAGCAATACGTTCTTCTACGGTTATCAGACATTTTTGATTTCATTTAACAGTGCCGAAAAGTGATGCGCGCGCGAACCTCGTGCAGTGTTAGCCCTGCCTGGCGCACTGAGAAACGGGTCGAGATTTTGTTAAAGTGTGCGTGCGTCGACGCATAGATACTATGGCGCACACATATAAGCCGCGCGCGGAGCATTTGTATGAAGATAACCTACTTTGTTCTTTATACTATGGTACGAGGTTTGCGCGCTCTTCACGGCTTTTCGGCACTGTTCAATGAAATAAAAAATGTCTGATAATCGTAGAAGAACGTATTGCTGTGTGTTTGGGTGTCTTAATAATTAATCGATTCCAGAACTGTCTCTGTTCAGATTAGGTACCTATTGAACAGGAAAGGTAAGCTAGTCACTTTTTCTAGCATAATATAATTTGTAGGTACTTGATGATGAGATACCTACTTACTTATTCTTACTCTTATCATTCTTCATAGTTCCTACTCAACCAGAAATGTAATTACCTACTATACTTAAATATTATAAGAAAATGTGGTATTGTATTGTTTATTTTACAGTTTATCTGATTTGTTAAGAGCGTAGCCGAGTCGCATTTTTCCATATAAATGTATTCCCAAATTTACTTTCTGAATACTATGTATAGAGCTAAAGTTTATTTTAAGAAGTTAATAATCTTTTTATAAGCTTTTAATTTTTACTAAATTTATAAATTGATAAAATATTCAATCATAATATGCTTTTCATTTCATAAATTTAGATCAAGTGCTGCTTGTTCGAAAATATTAACTAAAAGTAAAAGTGACAACCCTGGGGATCAACGCAAGAGTAGGCTAATAACTCGGCGGGCGGCCTTAGATAACCTACTGTGTTCTTTATACTATGCTAATACATTAAAGATTTATAAATACTATACATGCATTACAAACAAAATAATTACTCCATTAGGTACTTAATAACTAGGTCACACGAATAGACGGCGTCGTGTGTCGCGTGGTGTCCGGTAGCCGACCTCGGAACCGTCGGAAGACTACCCCTCGCGGCCAAAACTCCTAAACAATATAAGATTCAGGACTATGGCAAATGTCATATGAAAACGTCTATTGAGTGCTCTAAACTACTAAAAGGTTCGAAAATCAGTCAAAAGCCTCAATCAGGTAGATAGCAATTACTTTGTGTACATGTAAATATTGATACGAAACTACCTACAACTCGTACTATATTCAATGCACCAAGGACCATGAATGAAGAATGTGATTAATTCGAGTCTATTTTTGATACAGCTTATTTATTTATTTTATACTTTATTGCACATAGAAAAGTAGTTTACATTATTACATTGCAATAGTAATTTAAGTACAATTCTGCAGACGACGACAGACTTATCAGTCGTGGCGATTTCTGCTTATTTGTAGTTATCAAAATTCATTTGGTGTATTTACAGTACCTACAATTGTTTTGAAAATTGACGTTAATGGTTTGTGGTTTAGGATTTTCCTGGTAATAATATGTTTCCAAAAACATACCGAGGATTACGAGGTTAGTTAAAAAAACAATACGCTTGTTAAGTTTAATAACGATGTCATGTTGTAGGTACAACAGACCTCCTCTGTACGATACATCCATTTTTATGGTAATAAGCAAGAGATTTTTATTTAAATGAAGAAAATAAAACAATAGAACATTTTATTCTTTTTCTTCATATAGAAGGAATAATGCAAAAGCCTAGACGCCGGGAATAAAATCCAAGGAGATTTTGTAAAACTGTCAGTCGTTTGAAATCGAACCTATTCAAGATAGTGGTTCGTTGTTCAACGCCAGCCAATCACTGTTGAACAAGTGAACGCTTTTAGCCATAATACGGTTTATAGGTACACAATTTAGGTTTATTTTTCAAAAGATGCTAGATTTACTTTTTATTTAGGACGAAACATTATTATAATTGGAAACTATGAAGTTGTGTACATGAACAGCTATATAACTACAATAACGACGAATGAAAATATAAGCAATGCATTTAACGATTCCAAATTATATTCTGGATCGTTGTGTTCCAAAATAAAATCAAAAACACACC